TTTTGAAATAGACTTCTTCCTGGTATCTTTAAAGTAGCAAAAGTTATTCCACTTCATTGAAAGAGCTCTCTAATGAACCACACTAGTTATTTCTCAATTACGTTTCTTTCAAGCATAGGTAAAACATTTAAAGAAGCTATGTATAGCAGATTATACAACTTTCTACATAAATATCTATATCTTTATAAATACTAATATGGGTTTCGCTGCAAGCATTCCACAGCTCATGCACTTTTTGAAATTACTGAGGTTACCAGAGAAGCTCTTGACAATAAACTTTTCGCTTGTGGTGTGTTTATTGATCTACAGAAAACATATGACATTGTTGATCATACTTTCATCCTAAATAAATTGGAACACAATGGTATTAGAGGAATTGTTTCACTTCTTATTTTTATGATAGATTTCAATTTGTCTCTATTAATAGTAAAACATCTTCTTTAGTAAATTGCACTATACTGATGCACCTCAAGACTCTGTATTGGGCCTTTGCTTTTCCTGATTTTATGATTGATCATAATTTATTATTAAAATAAAGACAACTTCTTACCATTTTGCTGGTGACATCAACTTGTTTGTAATCAACAATCGTTATAAAACTAAACAAGCACGTTAATCATTATCGCATCTAGTTTCATGTCCAACAAACTGTCACTGAAAACTGTCACACTAGAATAAAACTGAAATTTTTACATTAAATCAAAACAATCTAAAATCAATAAACAACAAAATTACAGATTAAGTGGTCAAAATAAACAACAAAATTACAGATTAAGTAGTCAAAATAAACAACAAAATTACAGATTAAGTGGTCAAAATAAACAACAAAATTACAGATTAAGTAGTCAAAATAAACAACAAAATTACAGATTAAGTGGTCAAAATAAACAACAAAATTACAGATTAAGTAGTCAAAATAAACAACAAAATTACAGATTAAGTAGTCAAAATAAACAACAAAATTACAGATTAAGTGGTCGAAATAAACAACAAAATTACAGCTTAAGTAGTCAAAATAAACAACAAAATTACAGATTAAGTAGTCAAAATAAACAACAAAATTACAGATTAAGTGGTTAAAATAAACAACAAAATTACAGATTAAGTGGTCAAAATAAACAACTAAATTACAGATTAAGTGGTCAAAATAAACAACAAAATTACAGATTAAGTGGTCAAAATAAACAACTAAATTACAGATTAAGTGGTCAAAATAAACAACAAAATTACAGATTAAGTAGTCAAAATAAACAACAAAATTACAGATTAAGTGGTCAAAATAAACAACAAAATTACAGATTAAGTAGTCAAAATAAACAACAAAATTACAGATTAAGTGGTCAAAATAAACAACAAAATTACAGATTAAGTAGTCAAAATAAACAACAAAATTACAGATTAAGTAGTCAAAATAAACAACAAAATTACAGATTAAGTGGTCAAAATAAACAACAAAATTACAGATTAAGTAGTCAAAATAAACAACAAAATTACAGATTAAGTGGTCAAAATAAACAACAAAATTACAGATTAAGTGGTCAAAATAAACAACAAAATTACAGATTAAGTAGTCAAAATAAACAACAAAATTACAGATTAAGTGGTCAAAATAAACAACAAAATTACAGATTAAGTGGTCAAAATAAACAACAAAATTACAGATTAAGTGGTCAAAATAAACAACAAAATTACAGATTAAGTAGTCAAAATAAACAACAAAATTACAGATTAAGTGGTCAAAATAAACAACAAAATTACAGATTAAGTGGTCAAAATAAACAACTAAATTACAGATTAAGTGGTCAAAATAAACAACTAAATTACAGATTAAGTGGTCAAAATAAACAACTAAATTACAGATTAAGTGGTCAAAATAAACAACAAAATTACAGATTAAGTGGTCAAAATAAACAACAAAATTACAGATTAAGTGGTCAAAATAAACAACTAAATTACAGATTAAGTGGTCAAAATAAACAACAAAATTACAGATTAAGTGGTCAAAATAAACAACTAAATTACAAATTAAGTGGTCAAAATAAACAACTAAATTACAGATTAAGTGGTCAAAATAAACAACTAAATTACAGATTAAGTGGTTAAAATAAACAACTAAATTACAGATTAAGTGGTCAAAATAAACAACAAAATTACAGATTAAGTGGTCAAAATAAACAACTAAATTACAGATTAAGTGGTCAAAATAAACAACTAAATTACAGATTGAGTGGTCAAAAAATCAATCCGGTTATCTCCGTAGAGTATCTTGGAATAAAAATTGATTCCAATTAATATTTTTTACATCATCTTAAATGCCGAGCAAAAAAACTATGTGGATCAAACGGAATGCTAAAATTTGTCACTATGTCAATCTTAAAACTCTTAGCAACATATATTATGCTTTTTCGAATCACATCTTAGATATTCATGAGAGGTTTGGGAACAAATCTGCTTCCACATATTTTAAAGATTATCTAACTTACAGAACAAGGCTTAAAAAAATAATATAGTTAATTTGCGGTAAGTCGAACACCAGTTAACCCAAATTTTAATTATCTCGAACTGTTTTATTTGGTACTTTGAAATCGTCAAACAAATTTCTAATAAAACTCTCCGGCTAGGTCAAACTTCTGATAACTCGAACTTCGTTAATTCAAACCTTTTTTTCGTCCCCTTTTAACAAATTTCTTCGAATAACTTGAACATTTTTTATGGGAATTAGAAATATTGATACAATTATTTTTTTTTAAAAAAAAGAAGTCATTCCATGTAAAACATAAATAACTGTAGTCTAATATTTTCTATATTTTTTCGTTGTATTTAGATCTTGTGTTATCAGACGTAAAATAATGCTATAATACAACTGTTAAAAGATAAATCATTAAAAAAACGTTAAAAGTTTAATAAATTTCTAAATAAAAAAACCGTTATCTTTTAGACGGAATTTTAGTACCAAATGATTAGGAAGTCATTGTGTCGCTAAATATTTTCAAAGGTTATTTATCTTTTGAGTTTTTGAAGGTTATATTATCTTTTGACTGTACTGCTTGAATCCGTGAACAATCCCCTATATTCATACAATGCCAAAGTATAACATTAAATTTACACCATTATACATTAATATAATAATGTAAATTTAATGTATATACTTCAGCGTTTTAACTCGAACTAATATTTCATTCAGCCAAAGTTCAACTTAACGAGAATTCGCTTTAGTTGACTATTCGTTGAGTCGAACCATTTTCTTTAATCACTTGGAAGTTTGAGTTATTGAGAATAGTATATTTTCAGCAGTATCATTCTATTATTATTACAAAATGATTCCTCGTGTTCAACTTGTTTCCTGTTCTGCTTACCACGATTCCTCCTATTGTTTTTATTGTTATTAGTATTAGCAATACTATGATTATTGTTACTATATGTCCGATTCTTATCATTTATTAAATGTTTAATATTTATAAATATTATTATAAATTAAGTAATTAACAATTACTAATAATACAGTTTCTATTTTTATTACTATTCTTTTTCTTATTCTTTATTTAATGTATTTATTATAAACTATTGTAATATTGTATTTATTATAGACTATTGTAATATTGTATTTATTATAGACTATTGTAATATTGTATTTATTATAGACTATTGTAATATTGTATTTATTATAGGCTATTGTAATATTGTATTTATTATAGACTATTGTAATATTGTATTTATTATAGACTATTGTAATATTGTATTTATTATAGACTATTGTAATATTGTATTTATTATAGACTATTGTAATATTGTATTTATTATAGACTATTGTAATATTGCATTTATTATAGACTATTGTAATATTGTATTTATTATAGACTATTGTAATATTGTATCCTTGAGATTTTACAACTTATTGTTTCACAATACAATTGAATTCAATTAGAATCTAATGCAGAAAATCTCACATATATTTTAATAAGTTTATGTTTTTATCCTCAAGTCATATAAGGATAAGTTGGTGCATAAATAAATAAAACGAAACTTTTTTTCATAGGTTTCACGAGATAGAAAACATTAAAACATTCACAATCTTTACATTGGCAATTCTAACATAATTAGGGAGTAATCATTGATATTTCTAGGTTTGATTCTCGACGAAAAAATTTAAATTAAGTAATAAATTGATATAAATACGAATAAACAGTTTTGATTTAATAACTCTTTTAGGCTTTGTATGCCTTTTTGAAATTTCTTTATGGTGTTTATATGTTCATATAATCACTAAAAATTGATCTTTTGTAATGTTTTATTTTATTTTATTTATTTTAATAATATATACAAAATTTGTTATATGATTTATCAAGAAAAAAAAAAAAAAAAAAAAGATAAAAACTCGAAATAAGTAATTTTCTTACTTCCGTTATGATGCAAATTAAATATTTTTTATATTTCATTTTTTTTATTTTATACTATAGTGTATATAAGTTGTACAATAATAAATAAAGAAATATAAAATAAATTACACAATAAAAACTTTAAATAAAAACTGAAAAAAGAACTAGCAACGTTTAAATATAAATTACGATGCAAATTTGTATAAGACAAGTTCTTAACACAATTACGTTTTTTTTTAATTTATGCTCCTATATGAAATATTTTTAGGGACAAGCAAGATCGTTGATCACTAAAATCTAAAATATTATATAAAAAATTCAAAAGTTCAAATTTCAAACAAAATAAAATTAGTTAAAAATAAATTCAAGTTTTTTCTAAAAAAAAAAATTTTAATTTTAGATTTTTTACAAGTAATTTTTTTGGCGCAAAAACAAATAATGATGGATATGGGTTAACCCTAAAAACTAATTTTTTAAATGTGTTTTTTTTATTATTATTATTTTCATTTTATTTATATATGCAAATAAATAGAATAAAAACGTCAATTGATAAAAAATTAAAAGTCGTAGGTCTTGAAAAAACAACAACTATTTAGATAAAATCTACAGAATATAAAAAATATATGCACGAATAACTCTTTAATATAATATATATTGTAATGAAACACGTTAACACAGATATAAAACTATATACATTATATAATATAAATTATAAAAGCTGAACAAAAAATTCATTTATGCTACAATCCTATAGATGACAAATTATTAGAAGAAATCGATTCACTTTGCCCAGCACATCTCATTAAAAGAAGGTGAACATCAGATTGACATCCTCTTAACATGGAGATAACATCTTTTGCGACAAGATGATCTACGCTTTTACCATTTACCTGAAGCAGAATTTTAACAATGAAAATAACAACAGTAGTAGGTAACAATAACAACAGTAGTAGGTAAGAAAAGATTTTATTAAAGCACAAACCTTAAGTAAAATATCACCAACTCTGAGCAATCCTGATTCTTCCGCTGAAGTCCCAGGAGCAACTTTTTTTATTTTAAGTGGATCTATTATTAAAGTAATAAAGTTATTATTTTATAAAAATACACAACAACAAATATGTATATGCATACACATACATATATAAATTGCTGCTATTTTTATTATGTTGACTTCGTATACTTATATTATATACCTATATCATATATCTATAATTCATATACCTATATATCA